CCTCCTTTTACTTCCTTCTCTTCTTCTTTTCTTCTTCTCATTCTTCCTCCTCCTCCTTCTCTTCTTCTCCCTATTCTTCTTCCTCTTTTCTTCTTCTCTTTATTGTATTTCTCCTTCTTCTTTTTATTCTTCATTTTCCTAACAATATCCGTTTCTGTTTCACAGTTGTTCTAATCTTATCGAGGTTTCTTCTTCAGTTTATGAATAATTTATTCTATTTTTCATGACATATTTATTAGATATTCGCCTACACAACGAACCCTTACGTTCTTGTGCTGACTACGGGGAATACTGATGAAAACGGTAAGCCTAAAATTGAATGACCATAATTTTACAACTGTAGATAAAAATAGGTTTGCTTCCACCAACATCTACCTACACAGCTGCGCTTGCCGCACCATTATACCTCAACGAGGTGGGGTATTTTTTCTAATAATATTAAAACAATACGGTGTGAGTAAAATATTCAATTTCCATAGGCTTTATTGAGACATCTGATATTATAAATTAAGGCAAATTTCGATAATAGCGCATGTAATGTAGAAAAAAGCTGTGTTCTTCCCGACGAATGCTACCGAGGATGTAACGGGATGGGTTTATCTTATAAGGTAATTCTTACTTCGGACAGAATCCACATTAATTGCGAGATTTTAGCGGTACCTTCAATTGCTTCTTTCAGATCCTTCCAAACTCTATGATGAAAGTTGAGCTATTCTCCGTCCTCACCGCTAGCAATCAGTATGTCGCAGTAGGATTTTCGGAGGATAATAAAATGGTAGAGATTGTTCAAATTTTGTATCTCAATAAGAGAAAGAATACTAGGGCAAGGTTTTTCGCTTTGTGATATTCTCATCAAGAAAATTGGATGTGCAAAAGAATTATAACTGATTGGTAAAAAAGTGATTCTCGCAAAAATAAAGGAAAAAGACTGACTTCAGGGGAACGACCACGTAATCGAATGCTCTGCTCTCTCAAACCAAAAATTCTCAATGAAATTTTCCTATAATAACGACGTTCCTGAAAATGTGCGTATTTCTGGTGAAGAGGTAAGAAATGAGAAAGAAAGTCTGCCACGTGCTCGACAAAACTATTTTTGAGTTTAGAGCATAGAATCAGCATATTTCACCGATAGCAAAATCGTCACCGTCGATGGAGAACTGTACTGTTCAGCTATCGTGAATGTATCTGGATGGGCAATGAGTGACAAGGTATATTTGAGATTACTTGAGTAAAAGTGCTAAAAAGAGGAATTTTTTATAATTTCTGGATTTTCAAAAAGCTCCTTGAAACTCCAACATGAGGGCCATCAAAAGTTTTAGGTATTCACCTACAATCCTACAAAGGCATACTATCTTCTGCTTGCTAGCGGCTTCACTGACGAAGATGGTAGGTTGAATAGCTTTTATATGTTTTTTACAGCAATCATTTAAGGACTGTGAGATGGAGAAATTGTTCGGAATGGGAGAGTCGAGCTTGTGAGAAAGTTAATATTGTTATTGACCAGATTTTCCCAAATTGGGTTTCAGCTCAGAGAAAATGAGTGGTCTATAAGAGATTGAAGTAATTTTTCGGAGCCACTTTGCAGAATAGGCAGAGGGTTTACTAGGAAATGAAAAAAATTGAACTCAACAGAGAAAAATGAAACCATTACTAAAAAAAGATCTAAAACAAAAGAGCATTTTGGTACCGACATTTTAACATTAGAAAAAGACATTAGTAAAACGACACGAACTGACGATGGTGTTGAGGCAGATAAGACATTACATAGTTAATCAATAAAAACATATTTATACTGAAGAGATTTGATTA